AACCACACAACACACACACACACAACGTTCAAAGACCGCTTTGCAACCAAAAATAACCAGGCGCGAAACTTACTTTGAGCTAGGACCTCAGTGGTAAATCCGCGTATTGTTTTCTCTCCAAACCTCGTGTTTACGCTGCTCCGCTCGCTCGCTCCCTCCACTTCACAAAGACGACGCGAGAGCCCCGGAGACGGTGTGAGTGACTGACTGAATCAACTACCGTAGAGCACGGCAAGTTGAAGTGTCAGATTACACTGGCTATTCAGTTACCAGAGAGAGCCGTGCTCCGCGGTCGCCGTGAAAATGCGACCTAGATTCCCGCGGAAGGACACCGACTGTAAAGGTGTAACTATACGCTAATAGGCTGCTAACAGCACATTTCACACTGGAGCGGAGTGCAGCTCACGGCTCCGGCTATTGTCTGCTCCTGGATCATTACAGCGCCGCCGCTTTAGCGCTGCCTCCTGTAATCAAACCACTACTTATTTAGTTAATTCAACAAGTTCATTTTATGAGCGAGGTTCTTTTAAGCCATTAGGTAGGACTACAACACATTTTACTGGACTATCTGTAGAGTATACATCAGTGGTAAGCTTATTAATAGGATTAACAACAAAAAACAACACAATATTAATATTAATAATGGTGCAAAAATGATTAGTTTCATTATGTCACTGGTAAGAACAATAATGTTTATGTTAATAATATCGTAAAACAGTGTAAAATGCAATTTCTTTGTATTAAAATACTTCCAAAACTAAAATGCATTCAATTTAATAGCATTTAAAGCAAGAAAAGAAAAATCACCACATCTTAACATTTAAGAAGCTGCAACCAGACAGTTTGGCATATTTGTTGAAACAATACTTAAACAATTAATCGATTTTTAGAATTGTTGCTGGTTAATCGTCTAACAATTACTCAAAGAGAATAATAATAATAGTTATTATTATTCATTGAGTTTATTGTTACTAAAAATTACTTCCTAAAGTGTTATTTTATTGCTAATATAACAAATTAACTAATAATAATGTCTCTAATTGTATAATAATAATAATAATTCTAATAATAATAATGTAATCCTATATTGTATTGTATATTGCAGTAGTAAGTAGTAAAAAAGTAATAAAAGTCAGTTGTTGTTTTTTGCCCTCACTACTCTCAAGTCACTTCCAACTTCCTGTGTGTGTGTGTGTGTGTGTGTGTGTGTGTGAACCTTTGCAACCTGCGCCCCGCTCCAGCAGGTCTTCAGGCGGATGGGCTCCGTGTTTTGCGGATGGCCGGTCTCCGGTGGAAGCCTCGGAATAACAAAGACGTGTTTGAGAGCAGCGGCAGGCTGGGCTGAGCGGTGACGTCAAGGAACAATGTCTCCCCTCCCGACACGCACACACGCGCGCGCGCGCGCACGCCAGCGCACACAAACACGCACGCCAGCACACAAGCTCTCCCTAGTCAGGCAAGGCTGAACTGCCCAGAGGGAGGGCCGCTCAGCTCGCAGTGCATCAGATAGAATCACTCACTCCTCATGCTGTGCCTGCACACTGGATTTCTTTTTATTATTTATTTTATTATTTTTTTTTTACAGAAAAAATAAAAACATAACAATGGGGTGGCAGATCAGTCGCCGCAAAATAAACAATCCCAATGAAGCAGGCCGAGTGTGTGCACTTTACAAACACCTTGTTTCCTGTGGCTGTGTGATAAATTTAGATACAAGATCATCAATAAAGGTGACAAGATTAGGTCTACTGAAAAGGTAATTCACAATTTCCCTTCACATAATGTCATCAGTCCTGGGGGTCAAATTCCTGTCAGCAGCTCCTCCCAGCCCAGGCTCCTCTCTTCTTTGAAGGGAAGGAAGGGGCTGCCGTCCTCTTTAGCTTCCTTCCTGCAGGGCTCCTGACACTGATGCAGTGAGGGCCTGAACATGGTATCAGCAGTGAAGTGAGGGGGTGTGGGTGTGGGAAGGGGGTGGGTTTGGTGTCTCTATCACAGTGTCTCAAGGACACCCCAGCCCCCTGGTCCAAGCAGCTCGCCGTACTGATCGGGGACAAATGCGGCCAGTGACATCAGCGGTTCTGGCAGTCACTCATTTTTATTTCGGAGGGGGGTGGGTGGGGTGGGGGTGAGTTGTTTCTTAGATGGAGATTGGGTTGAGTGGTCAATGTCACAATGCTGTAGCTGTGAACTCATGATCAGATTTTTTTTTTCCTCTGGAAATAGCTCGTCGAGATGACCCGTGTCTTTGTCCTGACGCTGCTTCTGTTATTGATGTTTTTCACCTGCCGTGTTGCCACAGCGATATTGATGTTGACACTGTGATTCACATAAGACACGTCCTATATGCAGGGGTTTCTCATAAAATCCTCAGGGCTTCTTGTTGTCAGACAATTTGAACCCTTTTTTCAGTTCAGTCGGAGACAAGTATAGCTTCCTTTATTACTGTTCCCCTTAGAGCATGGGATCGACAACTGACAGACCTATTGTTGGCTTTTGCCATTTAGGTTTCAGTCCTATCATAATATTATATGTTCTGGATCATCCATCAAGTTTTTGTTTAATACCAACTTAAGGCGACAAGGCCTGTTACGGGTGTCAGGGGGGCCCTGCAGCCGGTCGGGTCTCTCTCCAGTTCAAACAATGGCTTGTCGTCAGAAGCCCTCGCTTTCATAGCAAGGCGTGCGCCTCAGCCTCTCCAAAATAATATGGCCAGATGGCTGCCAACAAGATGGATGGATTATAGGTGGGGTGACTTGGTTCTGTGTATAATTTCATACGTGCAGTCTTTCAAAGGGCTGAATGAATGCATCAAAGGAGAACAAAGAGAACTCTCAATGAAGCATACTCCGACAAGGTTAATACATATTGCATTGTGTTGGAGTGTGTTAAATCAACATATGAAAACTGTTTAGACTGCAGAACATTAGTGACGATCAAGGCCCGACTTGGCTTCCAACTCGTGTTGAAATGATGTACGTTTCTCGCGGCCACCTTGCTGTAGGCTTTGTGCTGGTGACAAGGATACTCTGTGTAGAGGCAGCAGGGGGAGTGATGGATGCCGCTGTGGCTTCATGTAGCTACATGATGGAGGGAGACTTTCAGTTGTGCTGACATCGGCTCTCCCATTCACGGAGAGGTGTGATGGTTGTTTACAGTGCCACCCTGCTGTCGCCACCATGAGGCTCCTTCTACTGAAAACACTACACTGCAATACTAATAAACAAGTTCTGTCATCAGGAGTACAGAGTGACTGACTGATTCCCTTTTCACACTGAAGCAAGGACTGGAAAAAGGCAATTTTCGCTTGTCTCTGGTCAGTTACATTGCTCCTGAGCAGATTTAAAAAAAGTCCAGCTCTGATTGGTGAACAAGGATTACTATGGTAACCACATGATTGCCATACGGTAACTGTAGTAAAATGATAATGATAATAATAACCTTAACACATTACATTATTGGCAATTTTAAACCATTTCCACCATGAATTCTGCAAATACCATTTAACATAACTGTGTAGTATGTGAGTCATAGCATTAACCTTTCATAAAGTAACCAAAGAAAGCCTATGAAGTTACATCAGATCATCCACACAATCCACCATGCTGTATATGTAACTAATATGTATATGTATGCAATGAGCGGTGGGTAGAGTTCTGATAATCTATACTAAAGTGAAAATACAATAACTCAACTGAAAGTGAAAACGTTTGAGAACCTACTTCAGCAAACATAAAAAGTACTTGGTTAATAAATTATTGTGATTAGTAATTCAACTATGAAAGTAGAAGTTGAGAGAAGATGATTCCTATATTCAGTGATTATACACTAATGAAAACATATGAATATTATATTACCTTTCTGCCAATAAACCTTCCTGGATGTTACTCACACACAGACCATTATTATAACATCAAAGATTAATGTTACACATGAAAAATTAAGATAGCATACCGTTAGCAAGCTAACTACATTTTAACCTATGTGCAACTTTAATATCCTTATGGAGGTTAAAAGAGGCCGCAGAGATCTCATCATGTGACTGTCTTTTAGATTTCGTTAGAAAAGTGTCCAGAATGTAAGGTCGAGTATTGTCACTGGAAGTTGCCTCTTGTGGGGGGTTTTGCTCAGTCATCATCGCATTGTAGTAAAAAGACACACGCACACTCAATTCCAGCATTCAGAGTAAAAAGTATCTTACAGGCTCAAAAATATACTTGAGTAAAGAGTAGAAGTTCAGTTTTTAAAAGAAACATGAGTAGTACATGTTCCAAAAAATTAAAAAACTTTTTTACTCATGTGCTCGTGTTACTTTCAATGGCAGTGAAATTCCACATTCTTTGTATACAAGACCCTCAACAGAGATATATGATGTGTGTTTTAGTTGTGATGTGAAGGAAAATGCAGTTTCTTTGAGTGTGCTATTTCTGCTTGATGAATGCAAAAATGATCAATAACATTTCTTTTGATTGACTAATTGCACAATCGACAAATCATTTCAGCATTTCAGCGGAAGGCAACAACCTGGTATTAACTGATCAATAGTCTGTTACGAACGGTTAAATATGGGTTGAACCTGTGTTCAATATCCTATATTTTCGTTTGTGAAAGTGATGTAACTGATTGACTGAAGGAATAGGAGGAGAAAGACGGGTTAATATTAGTAGAGAAGATTCTGGGGCAGTAAACGGATCATCACCTGCAGAGAAAAGGCAGAAGAGCACTATTTTAAAACAAGACAAGAAGAAGTCTGGTTGAGTACACCATTGATTGTCTCTGGCTGCGAGAAGAACAAGGAGCTGAGAGCGAGAGGGAAAGGGACAGAAAACAGATGAGTCGACTGCTGGCTTCTGGAAGCTTGGACAGCCTTTTATAAATGGTCTCTCTCTCTCTCTGTTTTCTCTCTCTCTCTCTCAATTGTTCTCTCCATTTCTGTTCTGTTTTTTCGCAGTGTATGTCGACTGAGCAGTGGCAGATAAGGCAGACAGTCGGGGCCCCATGCTGACTGGCCCGACTGGCTGTGGAGAGCACAGAGGCAATCAATGAGTGCTCACAATAGAGCGCCAGCATCCAGATAGCTAACAGCTCCCTGAGGCCATGGAAAGGAGGTGGAGAAGAGGGGGATGATACAAGGAGGGGGGGTGGAAAGAAAGGAGAGAAAAGACAGAGGAAGGTTGGGGTGAAGAGATTTTGTGCTTTAACACATGGGTGTCATAGGTTGTTTCCACGCCACT